TACGTTGTGCAGCTGCCACTGCAACGCTTGGAGGTGGCCGCTCAGCTGATTGACGACGTTTAGCGCCGCAGCGCCCTGCTGAAATCCCTCGTTCTGTTGAAGGATGTCGACTGCCCGCTGAGCTGAGCGAGCTGCCGATCTCGCTGCCTGGGCGGCCGACTCGGGACGGTCCTCGTCGTTCGGGCCAGCCCCTGGACCGTTCTTGGGAATCCAGGTGATGCGAGCACCGCAGGCGGTGCACTTGGACCCGCTGCCCCACTGGTTCCCGTAGTACCGAATCTGATGATCTGGATGAGAGCAGCCTACCACTGGCGGTGGCTTGGCTGGCACCTGACCTCCTCCTGGAAGTGTCGTCATCGGCACTGCTCCTCCTCCGGCGGGCGGTCCCGCCATTGATGAGGCCCTGGCCTGCGGTGACAGCATGCCAGCCTGAGGAGGTGACTTCCTGGGAGGGCCGCGTGCAGCAGGTCTGTGTCCCGCCGGTCCTCCTGCTGGGGTGGAGTCTGCCGGTACATGGGGCTGATAAGCTCCCGCCCCGCTCGCTGCTGCTCCAGCACCATCGACAGCTGCCCCCGCTCCCTGAGCCATTGCTGCGCGTAGCTCTCCAGCTCGTGCCGCCGCCCTCTGCTTGCTGAACCCGAACGCCTCCGCGCCATGCTGGGGCACAGTGCCCATCGGGCCAGGCGTCCGGCAGTCGCTCCTGGAGCGTGATGCGGCACGAAGTCTGGCGGCGGATGGTCTGGTGGCGGTGGCTGGGCCACCTGACCCGACGAAGCCGCCGCCCCTGGGACTGGGGCTGCTCCGGCGCTCTGGGCGCCTGATGCTTGAGACGGAGGCCATCCATATGGGTATCCCTCTCCTATCTGGAGCTGGGGGACCTGAAAAGGCTCGCTGTCGGAGTCCGACTGTAGCGTCATCATCTCGTGGTTGGCATCTAGGTCCTCCGACTCGGCCGCCTGCTGTAAGGTCTGGGCTGCAGCTTGCTCCCGACGCATCTGACGCAGTCTCTCCTGCGTCTCCTCCAGGGCCTTGGGAGGCTTCTTCGGCGCCGGCACTGGCGCTGGACTCGGGGCGGACTGCACCATCACTCCGGCGAGGAGCACCAGGGTCGTCACGAGCACATGCATGGTGATGCCGGTGTCTGCGGCACACGCTTGACCGAGGGAACAATCCTGGTTGAGAAGCGGTCAATCTCGAAAGCACTTGCCTGAGGCTCGAGCCTAAAGTGGCTACGGAGATGAGTAATCCCATAGCCGAGGGCACCCTGGATCGTCCTGGCTTCTCGTACTCGCTGTGCCAGACCGTCGCCTTAGCTTTCCCAGATGATCCTAAGGCCCTGACTGGTTCGCGGGACGCTAACTGAGCCCGTGACTTGAAGACCCCCGTAGCGAACCCCGCGTGGCCCGCCAAGAGACCCATAGACGTCTGGCCGCCCGGGGCCTCGCACAAGACAACCCCGAAGCTCAACAGGAGACTGAACAAGACTCCGTACAGCACGACATGATGAATGATGATCCTGTATCCGCGAAGCTCCCCGGACTCCAGCATCCCCGGAGGCTTGTCTGATTCTAGCATGAGGGCGCCAGCGGACAGAAAGGGGTACTTCCGCAAAGCGGCGTCTGGGATCTGCAGCGGTGCTTCTAACGGCTGCACGATCGTGGCCATGCGATGGCCTGATCCCAAGCGTGTCAAAGGAATATCCACCTCCAGGGTGGTCGAATTCATCACGTTCTGAGGCAAATCTATCACGCACCCAAGGAACTCCAACAGGTTCACTGACAAAATGTGGGGAACCTCCTCGAGGAGGACCGTAGTCTCGATGATCCCCAGCACTCCGCCCAGGCACAGCGGGAACAGCACGGAGGTCACGACCCTCGCCATGCCTCCGACCCCGTGTGCTGCTCTCGGACGCTGGTGCTGCTTCGGGATGGTCTCGAACTTCAGGCCCACCGCCGCGAGCGCCAGCGACTCGCGGTTCAGCGCCGTCAAGCCCACGAGATCGCTGCCGGCCCCTGGGTCGACGAGGCCCTGGGTGGGCTTGCCGACCAAGTAGATGCCGGCGTCCTGCATCGCCTGGCCCCTGGTCCAGCAGCTCGGGGGTGACGACCCAGTCCCCGGAGCCGGACACGACCCCGTCGAACATGTAGGCCGACATCCCCTTCCGCTGGTTGGCGTACTTGGGGTTGTCCTTCTCTGGGCACTCTCGGTGCCAATGACCTTTCTGCTTGCAGATGCCGCACCTGGTGATCTTCATGAGCTGCTCGGGAGACAGCTTCTTGCGGCTGAATCCTGAACCTCGGGCGCCACTGCCTCCACCTCGCCCTCGCTCCTGTCGGCCGCGGCCGCCACGATCCGTCCGTCCTCCAGTCGGGCGAGACCGTGGCTGCGAGGCGCTCCCGGCGCCTCCTGGTCGCGGCCTTGGGGCAAAGTACTCGCGGTCACGCCTGGCCGCCCTCTTGATATCCTTGTTCTGCTTCCAGGTGCGCTGGTTGGACCTCGACTCGATCATGGCCATCGCCTCGTCGAGCTGCGTCTCGTCAAGGTCTAGGTCCTCCAGCTCCGCCAGGATGGCGGCCTCGTCCTCGTCATCGAAGTCGTCGTCGTAGAAGTCCCCGTCCAGCTCGGCGTCTTCCTCTGAACCTACCTCGGACCGACCAACCGGGTACGAGGGAGGAGGAGGAGGAGGGAAACTGCTCTGGGCGCCAGACTCTTCGGTCTCGACGGCCGGCAAGGCTGTCGTGCTCCTACCAGGCAGCAGGCGCTCAGATCCCGATGCGTCCATTTGCCTGAGGGCCCAGGTGACGCTCTCGTAGTCTAGCTGTCCACGAGTGAGCGTGCGAAGGTTCTGCATACTCTGTCCCGAAAGGCCAGCACCCTCCTCGAGCATCAGGCCTTTCATCTTGGACGACAGCCAGAGCTCGTTGGCCTCAGCTTCCTGGAACTGAGATTCTCGTCTCATGACATACTGCGTGAGACTCTCCTTGCTCTCTCTGGCTGCTTCAAAGAGGGCGCGCCTGCCAGTGCGTCTGAGCTCGTCGCCCTCTCGCTCACCTATCATCAGATTCATCCTCTCGAGCACTGTGGTGATCCAGCTGGTTCCTGAGGTTGACTGCTCCGACAGATCTTCAAATCTAGCCTGCATATTCTAGTCGAACAGTTTGAGAAACTTCTCGTACCTGCGCCAAACGGGGACATCCGTGTTGTTGTCCCAGCGTTTGAGGGCGCTCCGCCATTGTCTGTAATGCGTCCACCCCGGCCATGCCAGAGGATCTGAGAAATCACCTTTGACTCCTCCTCCGCTCCAGCTGCCAGAGTACCAGCTGTCGCGCCGGCCCCAGCCGGCGCTCCAGCCGTCCTTGTTGTAGTCCTGCCAGGCGTCGTGCTGGTCGGTCTCGGCGTGCTTGTGGTCGGACTGTCGCCACTCGCCGTCTCGCCGCCAGCTGTCCTGGCGCCAATCTGCTACTGCTGCTGCTGCTGCTGCTTGCCATGGATCCTCTTGTCGGCCCTCGGCAGTAGCCTGTGGCTGCTCAGGCTTGGTCGTCTGGGGCGCCCCCGCGGCGCTCATGGTCTCTCGGACCATCCCGGAGACCAGGTCCCTGAGCTGCTCCTTCGTCATTGTCATCCGTCCTGTCTCCGCTGCTCCTGATGCAGCGGTCGCCGACTCTTCACCACCACCACCAATGACGGCTCCTATGAAGCCCTCGTCGTCTGCGGGCATCTCCGCTGTCCGCGCCGCCCTGTCGGCGCGAGCCCGGCCCGCGGCTGGAGGCACTCGAGCGGCGACTGGCCGTGGCCCTCAAAGCCGCGCCGCGCCACCCATGGGCCCCCCGGCCGGGAACCAGGCTCCGCTACCAATTGTGGCAGCAGCAGGGGCAGTAAATGCTTTTCCCTTGAGCCAAATCGGATAACAGTGACAGGAAACTTCACACAACTCTCAATGCAAAACCTACTGTGCGAAATATGCCCACCTGTCTCACCCTGGCGTGGTCGCTAAGGGTTTGCAGGGCATCCCAGCACCAGGCACATCGGCGCTGCCCGCGCCTGTGGTGGAGGGCCCCCTGGTGCACTTGCCAACAATCTGCACCTGCACCAGTGCTCGGCAGATCCTCCGTGAGGCACCTGAAGCATCTCACGCCGTTGGACATGCAGGCACGTGACACTGGGCGCTGGACTGCTGCCCCCTGGGGGCTGAGCCTTCGTCGCCGCCGTGCGCCGAGCCCCGCTCCCCCATGCCAACGGGCTGCCGAGGCCGTCCATCATGCCGAGCGAGAACTGCTCCACCAGCCGCGCGGCCGCGATCGCCTCTTCAAAGGATGATGCGATGTTGGCGCCCAGATGGTCGAATATGTCCCAGCGGGCGCGCGGAGACCCGCCACCCCCCTGGCAGCGAACGACCAGGGCGATCTCTCGGGAGTGGCCCATCTCCTGGCGAGTTTGCCGACGCAGCCGCCTCGCTGATGTCCTAGTCCGCGCGGGCGTCCAAGCCGACATGTCCTCCATGGCCGCTCGTCGCGCTCACACGGAGGACTACCTGCAGCGCAAGCTCATCTGAGCCGAACTGGCTGCAGATGGAATGAAGAGGAGGATGAGGAGGAGAAGGATGTAGGAGAGAGGAGGGGGGAGTATGGGAGGATGGGGAGGAGGGATGATGGGGTGAGGGAGGATAATGGTGATGTTTGCGATATTGATGGTGAACATGATGCTGCTGCTGTTGCTGCTGCTGCTGCTGCTGATGATGGTGATGATGATGATGATGATGATGATGATGATGATGATGATGATGATGATGATGATGATGATGATGATGATGATGATGATGATGATGATGATGATGGTGATGGTGATGGTGATGGTGATGGTGATGGTGATGGTGAAGGAGGTGAAGGAGGTGGAGGAGGTAAGTATGGCCTCAGATAGTTGGATCTGGTCTGCCATGCGACAATGGAGCCTGTAAGAGAGCAGGAGACAAGGCCTCGCGAACTCCCCGCCCTCTGGCAGAGGTGACGGAGCTCGCGGATTTCTTCACGGGGGCGATCTTCTCCGCCACCGGCCACACACTCGCGGCGCAGTGGCAGGGCGGGGAAGCCTCCAAGGTCATCGTGGGCGCGGACATGCTGCCCAGCGGGGGGCGTGCCGAGGGCCGGTCTGCCGACGTGGCCTTCGGCACGCCGGCCGGCGCGGACGTGGCCCTGGCGCTGAACGGCATCCAGTTCCAGGGGAGGAGCTCGGGGGGGGCCGAGGGCGGGAGGGGGGATTGGCTCACCGAGGGAGCGCAGACATGGACGGAGGCGCGTGGCCGCGCATCGGCGATGAGGGCCTGAGGGGCCCCACTCTGCCCCGGGGGCGCATCGCGGAAGGATCTGTGCTGCTTCGCCTATTGCAGGCCGCCGTCTAGCTCCTGAGACAGCACCCCTCCATCTGCCCCCCCCCCCCCCCCCGAGGAACTTGGCGATCACCCGCCCGAAGAATTACAGCGGCCCTCCCTCGAGCCGGGCGAAGCTGCAGAGCCTGACCCTGAAGGACCTGATCGCCTCCCACGCCGCCGCGGGCGCTGGGCCGTCGCAGGCGTCCAGCAGCGCGTGGGTGCAGCTCAGCGGCATCCCCTCCTCCATGGGGAGCAAGAGCGTGTTCGACCTCCTCCAGCAGTTCGGCGGGCCGCTGAAGAGCCTGGACATGCCCGAGAGCTGCCCAGGGAGCGGCGTAGCCGAGTACGTCGACCGCAAGTCTGCGCTGGAGGCGCTCAAGTTCTCGCCCCTGCTCGGCTTCATAGAGGCGGGTGCTCGCGGGAACTCCGGCCGCGCTCGATGACCTTAAGCGGTGCCCAGGTCACCCCAGGGGGCGCGAAGATGGCCGCGCCGCACGCGTCGCGCGGCGGGGGGCTGCTGAGCCGGCCTTCTCCCCGGGGCGGCACGAGGACTCGAAGATGGCCGCGCGTCGAGCATCTGCGGGGCGCGGCGCGCGACGCTGGGTGACCCAGGACGGCAGGGCCCGCGTGCTGGGGGGGGCGTCGGCGCGCCGAGGTCGGCCTGGCTCGGGGCCCCAGAGGGGCCTGACGCCCGCGCGCTCCCCTCGCTCTCGCTTGCCCGAGCGCCGCCGCCGCCGAGGGTCAGTCCCCGCGCGCTCGTGTTGCCTCTCCCGGCCTCTCCCTCCGCCTCCTGCCTGCTCCTGCTGCTCCTCCCGGGGAGGCCCCTGTCGGCGTCTCCTCCGCCCTCCCTCCTCCCTCCTGCTACCCTCATATACCCTCATCCATCTCTTTTCTGATGCTCCTCGTGTAGACCCTGGCAGGCTCACGGAGCGGCAGTTTTCGGGGAACCACCACACCGAGAGCCTTCTTGGCTCTCACCCACACTTCCTGCCTACTGCCGCCGCCAGCGGCCCCCTCAGGTTCTTCCTTCTTTCCCTGAGGCGTATCTGGTGCCGGACGCGTTCTTGGTGGCCCAGCCCGACCCTCTCCGCCCACTGCGAAGGCCTTGGTCATATCCGTTTTGGCGTGTAGATGAGCCGCGCCTCACTCCTCGCTGCCTGGGCCTTGAGGAGCACCAGCCCTGCTCCAGGTCTCTCTCTTGTTGGGGACTCCATCTCGAGCCATGCGCCGACCACCAAGAGGAGCACGAGCGCAACGAAGATGGAGCGGCAAGAGCCTCGCCATCGCCGCACCGAGGGAGATGGCGACGAGGCGGATGCCGTGGGGGCGCGAAGCCGGCCATGAACCTCGCGCGTCGCGCGGCGCGAAGCGCGAGGCGAGGCGCCCCAGCTCGCAGTGCCGCGCCGACGTCGAGAGCTCCCCTCCGTGCCCGCGGCGGCCTTCCGGCGCTCGGCGCGGCGGGGCGGGGAGCGCCGCCATGGCTGCCGCCGAGCGTGCGCGCGCGCGCGATCGGCCCCACGCCGCGCCGCGCGAGGCCTCCCCGATCGCCCCGGAGGCCCTGCGGGGAGGCCCCGCGGAGGCCCCCTGCGCTGGGGCCCCGTCGGGTGCCCCCAGAGGCCGGAGACGCAGAGGGCCGGCGGCGTCCAGAAGCGGGTCCTCGGCGCCAGTCCCCTGGGCATCGTCGCCGTCGGGCCCAGAGGCCTGGCATCGCTCGGACGTGTGCATTTTTTCTCGGCGAGGGCCATCGAGGAGCATCCTTGATCATTTGGCGAACAAGCCACGCACGAAACCGAACAAATACACAGGGAATGGACGTCCGAGCGATGGCCAGGAGGGGTCCTCGTCCTGACTGGTCGCCGGGTCCGGAGAGGTCCGCGCCGTTGTCGTCCTCGCCGCCGCCGCCGAGGCCCGAATGGGCCCTCGGTCCTCGCCGCCGTCGCGCGCAGGTGAAGGCGATCGACGCGGCGGCGGCGGCGGTCCTCGTCGGCCGCGCGGCCGCCCCCGCGGCGGCAAGGGGGGGCGAAGACGGCGACGGCAGGCGGCGGAAACGACGAGGAGCAGGGCGGCCGCGGAGGGCCGACGACGGCCGGCGAGCACAGGCGACGGCCAACGGCGGCGAGCAGGATCAACCGAGGGCGACCGACGGCGACGTCAATTGCGACAACTGCGATGAGGTCCGACCACGACCTCCGACCTGGCGACCGCGACGAGGACCCGACGACAGCTACGGAGACAGCGACGCGGGCTGACGACGACGACTCCTACGGCCACGACGACGGCTTTGACGACGACAAGGTCTGACATAGACTAGCGACGGCGACGATTGCGAGGACCGACGGCGACAACGACCTAAGACGACGATGGGGACCGACGACAATGATGACTGACTACGGCATACGACGACCGACCAGGTCCGATGACGACAAAGGAGTGATCATGATCGTGATGATGGATGATGATGACGATGGCGGTGCTGCTGATGATGTTTAATATGATGATACTGATGCTGATGACGATGATGACGATGATGCTGATGGTGATGATGAGGATGAGGATGGGGCTTATGCCGATGATGGTGATGATGATGACGATGATTATGATGTTGATGCTGCTGACGAAGATCCATATGATGTTGTTGATGATGACGACGATGATAATGATGATGCTGATGATGGTGGTGATGATGATGCTGATGATCATGCTGCTGATGATGATGGTGATAGTGATGATGATAATGACGATTATGATGGTGTTGATGACGATGATGGTGGTGGTGATGATGCTGATGATGATGGTGTCGATGATGATGACGATGATGGTATGGTGATGATGATGATGATGATCATGATGGTGATGCTGATGATGCTGATGACGATGATGATGATGGTGGTGGTGGTGATGATGATGGTGGTTGTTATGCTGCTGCCGATGATGATGCTGATGATTATGATGATGATGATGATGATTGTGATGATGATGATGATGATGATGATGATGATGATGGTGATGGTGATGGTGATGGTGATGATGATGATGATGATGATGATGATGATGATGATGATGATGATGATGATGATGATAATGATGATGATGATGATGATGATAATGATGATGATGATGATGATGATGATGATGATGATGATGATGATGATGATGATGATGGCGACGACGACGACGACGACGACGGCGGCGACGGCGGCGACGGCGACGACGGCGAGGACGGTGACAAGGTGACAAGAACGAGGACAAGGACGAGGACTTCGGCGACGACAGCCACAACACACGATGACGTCTACGATGACGATGGACGGCGACCGACGGGAATCACGGCTGGCGACGACAGACGACGACGACGAAAACGACGAAGACAGGCGAGGGACAACGTGGAGCACCTACGACGACCGACGGCGACGATGAGGACGATAAGATCGACGACGATAACGAGCGCCGACGACGACCGACAACGTTGATGGCGCCCCGACGTACCCGGATGTCCCCAGAGGTTTTTGGAGGCCATCGGACGTTCGAAGAGAAGCAGAAACTTCAGAGCACCTCGATTCGTCGATCCTCGACCCTGCAGCCTCGAACCTCGACGACGACCGGCGGGAACGACCACGGCGATGGACGAACGTGTGACAGACGAACGACAGGAGGGAGGAGGAGGAGGAGGAGGAGGAGGAGGAGGAGGAGGAGGAGGAGGAGGAGGGAGGAGGAGAGGAGGAGGGAGGAGGAGGAGGAGGAGGAGGAGGAGGAGGAGGAGGAGGAGGAGGAGGAGGAGGAGGAGGAGGAGGAGGAGAGAGGAGGGAGGAGAGGAGGAGGAGGAGGAGGAGGGAGGAGGAGGAGGAGGAGGAGGAGGAGGAGGAGGAGGAGGAGGAGGAGGAGGAGGAGGAGGAGGAGGAGGAGGAGGAGGAGGAGGAGGAGGAGGAGGAGGAGGAGGAGGAGGAGGGAGGGAGGAGAGAGGAGGAGGAGGAGGAGGAGGAGGAGGAGGAGGAGGAGGAGGAGGAGGAGGAGGAGGAGGAGGAGGAGGGAGAGGAGGAGGAGGGAGGAGGAGGAGGAGGAGGAGAGGAGGAGGAGGAGGAGGAGGCGGAGGAGGAGGAGGAGGAGGAGACGATGACGACGGCGAGAGCCGACGCCGAGGTGGCGGGGAGCACCGAGGGCCCGGCCGCGAAGCGGCTGCGGAGGACGCGCTTCGACCCCACGCCCGCTGGGGCGCAGGAGGCCGACGAGGCCCAGTCGTTCGAAAGCCCGTTGTCGTTTGTCGTTTTTCGAAGGAGGAGGAGGCGGAGGAGGAGGAGGAGGAGGCGGAGGAGGAGGAGGAGGGAGGAGGGGGAGGGGGAGGAGGAGGGGAGGGGAGGAGGAGGAGGGAGGAGGAGGAGGAGGAGGAGGAGGAGGAGAGGAGGAGGAGGAGGAGGAGAGGAGGAGGAGGAGGAGGAGGAGGGGTTGTCGCGGGCCATCGTTTTTCGCTCCGTTGTCGTCGTAACGTGGTCGCATGTCGCCGTATTGTGTCGCCGTGCGTCGTCGTGCGTCGTCGTCCATCGCGGTGCGTCGTCGTCGGTCGCTGGTCGTCGTCATCGGTCGTCGTCGTCGTCGTCGTCGTCGTCGTTCTGGCCTCCGAGGGATTCCAGGGACTTCTGGAGAGCTCTGGAGAGCTCAGGGCCCCGCCGTCGTCGTCGTCGTCGCTGTCGTCGTTGGAGCTGTGGGGGGGAGGGAGGGAAGGATGAATGGAGCGAGAGATGGAGGAGGGGGGAGGAGGAGGAGGAGGAGGAGGAGGAGGAGGAGGAGGAGGCGGAGGAAGCGGAGGAGTAGGAGTAGGAGTAGGAGTAGGAGTAGGAGTCAAGCTAGCCAGCTCGAGCGAGTCAAGCATGGCATGCCCAGTCCCACCCGCCCTCCCACAACATAAGAAGCAAAGCTGGCACAACTGGGGGCCGAAGTCACACCGGCCAGCCGGTTTGGTACAGCTGATGCGGCCGCGATGGCGGTTGCCGACGGGAACTGGCGAGCGCGTGTTGAATGCCGCGCACGCATTGCCAGACGAGTCGAGAATGGCCCGGTACACCGCAGGAAGCCAGAGGTGGCCGGAGGAAGCCCGACGGTCTGACAGGACACCCCAAAGCATTTTTGTGAAAAAGCATTGGGTTTTTGATGTTTTTATGTTGAAATGCTTGCAAACACACGGTGTTCGGTAGGATTCTGACATGAACGCGCGAGTGTGCTCTTTGTGGTATTTTTTGCACAGGATTCGCGGCCTGGGTGCATGACAGAGCATCGCGAGTGCACCGCGCGATGACGCGAAATCGCTGGATTTGACCGAATTCTTCAGATTCCTATGGTTTTCCTATGATTTCAGCAAGAGAGCCCGGGCGGGAAATTTGTACAATTTTTGTGAAAAAGCATTGGGTTTTTGATGTTTTTATGTTGAAATGCTTGCAAACACAAGGTGTTCGGTAGGATTCTGACATGAACGCGCGCGTGTGCTCTTTGTGGTATTTTTTGCAATGGATTATCGCCGTGGACGACAGGACGTCCATGTCGAGAGGAAAAAATAAGAAAAATGTTGATTTTGTATTGTTTTTTACAGGTTAGGATGGGACCCCCCGGATGCGGCCCCTAATGGCCGGCCTGAGGGGGGAGTAGGAGTATATTCTAATAAGGAATAAGGATAGGAGGAGGAGGAGGATGAGGAGGAGGAGGAGGAGGAGGAGTAAGAGTAAGAGTAGCAGGAGGCCCGTGCAAACCCAAGACGCATCAATGATGTTACCATCAACCTTCCCCCCAAGTTCCCTCGTTCATAGGTCCCCAGAAGAATGTGTTAGAATTGCAGGAAGTGGCCGAGTAGAAGGCAACCGTTCAAGAATCCTCAATCACGGCAAAGCACCATCTCTGGGACGTCAATGCCGCGGATCAACATGACCGTTGAATCCTGTCAATTCTGTATCATGCGAAGGCACCATGCCCGGGGGTTAAAAACAACGCGAATCACAACGCATCAACGATCATGGAAACGCAAGACGCATCAACGATGTTGGAACACACCCTCCTTCCAAGTTCCCTCTTCGTGGGTCCCGCTTCGTGGGCGCGACGTTCCACCTCCCCTTCGACCTATCGACCTCCAGCGTCCACCAACGCAACACTCTGGCTCCAGACTTCCAACATCCGACTCTCCACTTGCAACTCCACCTGTCGACTTCCAGCGTCCACCAGCGCAGCACTCTGACCTCCAGCATCCAGCATCCGACTCCGCACCTCCACCTCCACCAATCGACCGCCAGCGTCCACCAGCGCAACTCACCGACCTCCAGCCTGCAACATCCGACATTCCACCTCCACTTCGACCTGTCGACGTCCAACGCCCACCAGCGCAACGCTCCGACCTCCAACCTCGGGCATCCGTCCTTCCATCGCCACCTCCACCTATCGAGTTCCAGCGTTCACCGACGAAGGGAGGAGAACGGGGAAAGTACAGTGCAGTAGGGAGTGACTTTCATGTTGCGTCCTTGCGATTTCGACCGCAATGCCTCAGCTCCGGCGGCGGACGAGCGGAATGCGCCAACGTCGACGGCGACTTCCCTAGCTGTCTTACGCAACGACCCGTTCCTGCCATCCCTAGCAAACCATCCAGAGCACCGCCAGCGCCAGCCATCGACACCAGTGGCACCACCAATCTCACCATAATCAATAAGAATACGAGGTCATTGGAAACCGACGACCGCATCGAGGAGCTTATACGAGACGTACAAAGTTACCATTGGGATGCAATTCTAATCAAGGAGACCTGGAGGACACAGCCAAAAAAGCTTTGGACTAGAGTGGAAGGACATACCTTCGCAGGGTCTGGGAACGACAGGCGCTGCCATGGAGTAGCAATTCTCTTACATAAGCGCTGGAGCCGTCATATATTTGAGCTTCAGGCAATCAGCGCAAGACTGGCCACAATGACTGTTAAAAGAGGGCGCATTCGATTACAATTAGTTCCGGCATACTTTCCACACACTGGGTATACAGACGCACACGTACAACAAATGTATGACGAGATTGGTGCTCTGCTCAAGGAGGCCCGCGCCCGCAACGTACGGACGATTATCGCAGCAGACTTCAATACCCAGGTCGGTGCGCAGCCACGCCCAGACGCAGCACCGACGGGTGCGACAACGACCATCAACGACGTTTCTTTTCGTTGTGTGGGACCCCACGGGCACGCCGGGCACGGCGACGAAAACTCCAGAGGGCAGTGGTTGCAACATTGGGACACGAAAATCGCAGATCTCAACTCGGACCAGAAAGCTCTCGTGCTTCATATTCGCTTCCCGGTTCCACCGAACGGTAAAAACTACACGCCATCTAGGACATCCCACGTCGCGGGCCGACATTTGCAGCGGCCATTGGGCACGCGTAGACTTCGACGAATACAGACGACGCTCGGGTCTCCAGTTGCAGCCGGCGGCATTTCGACAGACCCGCAGGAGCTCGCCCTCATCATCGAGAAGAGCCTGTGCACCTCCACAACTCACGGAGCTGCCGCCGCGGCGGCGCCCTCACGAGCAGCCACGACCAACGCCAACCACGACGCCAAGCACCAGCAACACGACGACATCATCGGAGACCTGATCAAGCAGCGACAGAACACGCCTACTGCAAACAGCAATGCCCGACGAGCAATCAGCAAAAAGATACGGCAAAGCATTCGACGACAGAAGCGCGCCGACCGGAGGGAGCGAATCAGCACCATATTGGAGCAGTACAAGGGCCTCAAAAACGTCCGCTCCATCAAAACAAGGCGGAGGAGGATTCTGATTGCAGAGATGGCGGGGGCCGACGGCAGCAAGCAGACAACGAGGCAGTGGATAGCAGACGCATTTGCTGATTTTTACGCTCAGTTGTATACTTCTTCCCGCAGCCTTGACCCCACGCCAACCGCCGCGCACAAGCCACCTGAGATTCCACCTTTCGCGCCGACAGAGCTCACCGCAGCAATCTCATAGCTCAAAGGCGGCAAAGCATCAGACACTAGTGGAATTCGCGCTGAAATGCTCAAAAAACAGGTCCAGAGCTCCAGCGTGCCTTACTACAGTTGTGCAACACCATCATACAGGCAGACGCCCCTACGCCGGCAAGCTGGAAAAAGACCGTCATCACTGTAATCCCCAAGTCGGGCGATTTGACGCTTCCACAGAATCATTGTCCGATCTGCACAATACCGATGTTGTATAAGTTCTTCAGCCGATTTCTGCTCAACAGGTTACAACCAACCCCAGAACGACAGCAACCCGACGACCAGGCGGGCTTCTGCCCCGGACGAGGCACGCGCGACCACCTTTTTACTTTCAATATTCTACGTGAAAGGGCAGCCGAATGGAAGCAGACTCTCTGGGTTGCAGCCATAGGCTTCAAGAGAGCTTTTGGCACAGTCGAACATGACAGCCTGTGGGCAGCTCTGATTCACCAAGACTTCACGCACCAGCACCACCAGTAAAACGTTCGACCTCCAACGCGGCACAAAGCAAGGGGATCCACTGAGCTCATTGCTATTCACTGCGTTATTCCAACACGTCTTAGCACCGCTGATCTCAGTTTGGCAGAGGAAACACAAAGGCGTCCAATTGGGACACACCGACGCGGCGACACTCACGAACCTTCGGCTCGCAGATGACATCTTGCTGACAAGCCAAACACTGCCCAACCTAAGAGCAGTGCTTTCCGACCTCATCACCGCAGCAAAACAGCACGGACTGGAATTGCACCCGACCAAGACCCAAATCATGACCAATCAGCCTCGACACCGCGACCGAACAAATAAAGGGTAGCAGGAATGGACATCGTCATATTACCACGAACAAGCACCATCACCGACCTGGGCCAGACCATTATTTTCCACGACGCACCAGGAACCGAAATATAGCACGGGATTCAAGCAACATGGACATGTTTCAGCAGCCACAGACAAGAACTCACCAGCAAACGCTATCCACTGCGACACCGACTACGACTATACCTATTATGACTTACGGAGCAGAGACGTGGACGTTGACAGAGCCTCTCAAGCAGCAGTTACGCAGAACACAACGACGGATGGTACGAATCGTGATCGGAACACCAAGGACACGCACGGCAGCGACACCGACACTACAACACAATCCAGAGACATCCCCAGACTATCACAACGACACCAGCAGCACAGCACCAAACGACTCCAGCGAATCCGACGTTTGCAGCGACCCACCTGCACACCA